GAAGCGGCCGGAGAGGAGCAGAATGTGATTTTGGTGGGTTTAACTAATTGCAAGGAAAGCTTCTACGCGCTGGATTGGATCCTTCGCCACCACTTCTCCGGCGAAGCCAAGCCTGGAGCTGCTGCTTCAAAGCTCGTCGTCATCTACGCCAAAGCTACCCCTTGCTCCGTCATCGGCTTCGGTGGCTTAGGTATGCTTCAAAGCTCGTCGTCGATCCTCGCATGAATTAACGGAAGACGTCATGAGGAGCTTAACAGAGTGTTATAAAAGATGAAAATAAGAGTGGAGGCGCCCGGAGAGAAGGAGCAGAAGGTGATTTTGGTGGGTTTAACTAATTGCAAGGAAAGCTTCTACGCGCTGGATTGGATCCTTCGCCACCACTTCTCCGACGAAGCCAAGCCCGGAGCTGCTGCTTCAAAGCTCGTCGTCATCTACGCCAAAGCTACCCCTTGCTCCATCATCGGCTTCGGTGGCTTAGGTCTGCTTCAAAGCTCGTCGTCGATCCTCGCATGAATTAACGGAAGACGTCATGAGGAGCTTAACGGAGTGTTATAAAAGATGAAAATAATAATAATTGAATAGTGTTTAGGAGTTGTTGCGTGCTGGAATATTCACGATAAAGGAGAAATAGAGAGTTTAATGTTTTAGTTTTGTACGGAGATTTAGCATATACATAGATAAGAGAGATACGTACAACAATCATAAGAGACATGGTTTTTTATATAGAAAATACAAGAAAGGGAAAAACTACATATTATGGTCAAGTTAAATAGATTTTACTAGCGCTTTTTATTGATTACAAATGATGTCCTTTAGGGAAGGCGTTGGCTCAATATAATAAATATATATCATAAATAACACATTACATTGTTGGACTTGAAAAAATCTAGTGACATGAGAGTTGTTCTCAAATGAATGTTAGCATGTTTGTCTGGTTAGTACGGTCGTAGTCGAGTGATGGTGGTTGAAAGGTTCATAGTATGGTGACATAGGTCGAAGGGATTGTAGTTGGGCAATAGAGGTCGGAAGGATCGTAGTCTGGCAATAGTGCCTAGAGAGACCATAGTCGACAAGCAATGGAGGTCTGAAGGATCATAGTCGAGCGACAAAAGTCAAAGGGATCGTAGTCGGTGAGCGATTGAGGTTGGATGGACCTTAGTCAGATGATGGTGGTCTGAGGATCATAGTTGAGTGATAGAGGTCTGAGGGCTGTAGTTGGATGATGGTGGTTGGAGAGATTGCAGTCTAGCAATAGTGGACAGATGGATCATAATCGAGTGAACATGTTAGGAGGGAATGTAGTTGGGTGATGGTGGTCGACAGTGGCGGAGTCAGAAATTTTGTTCAGGGGGGGGCCTAAATTAAAATAGTTATGTTTGTCATCTTATTTGGAAGGCTAGAATATATTAAAATAGTTTTGTTTGTCGTCTCATTTTCGGATTGGAGCCAAGAGGAGTTATAAGACATAAACATCTACCACGGACGATCTTTTTTTGGGGGTGAGAGAGGAGCAAAAGGTAAAACGAAGCCGTGCTCGTGACTCATGAGTCGCGAGAGAGGAGTAAAGGAAAAAAACAAATCATTGATGCTTTACCCTAAACAGAAAAAAATGTTGATGACTTCTCTGGATTAATAAATAACTTTTAAAGGAAGAGATACACAAATTAGAGCAGGTTTTTTCGTTGGCGTACTAAGTCATGAGTGCGCAATAGCAGCAATTTTGTTGCGTAAAAAAAGCGAGCAAAAACGTATCCTTCACAGTAATTAATTAGATCATTAGCAATGCAAAATAAAATCATATTTAATTATGATTTAAATATTTAAATATTTTAGAATAATAAATAATTAAATAACCCTGCAAGTAGGGGTGTCAATATTTGACACGACACGAAAACCCGACCCGGACCCGACCCGATTTCAAAACGGGTCGGGTTCGGGTTCCAGAAATTGACCCGTTTAAAAAACGGGTCGGGTCCGGGTTGACCCGGCGGGTTGCCGGGTCAACCCGCCAA